GTTGGGTGATGGTGAGATATTGAAAAAATGGCATTTAGCAGAGATAATATAGCCCAGCAGAGCCTGAGTAAAATAATTCAGACTCAGAGTCCATGTGTGATTAAAATATAAAGTTTTTACTGAATTCTAGCATGGGAAAGGGTAACTGGGATGAAAATAACAAAAGAGCATAGTCGGCTGCATCCTTACACTACAAAGACAAAACTAGAAGAGAGAGATTATGGCTGCTCTTCTTGTTCTTCTTCAGACCACCAAACAAAGACGGGAAGAGAAGCCATAAAATGGTAATATACCTTGACACTTTAGTCCCAATCGAATCCCTAGATCAGGGAGAAAATTCCCGGGCTTCCTACATCTAAAGAACATTGGTTACATGAGAAACATGTGACTTCCTGTGAGTAACATAAACAAACATTTAACCCCAGATATACTGAGTGTTTTCAACTTGTAATACCCAACACCCTGGCATTCCTTGGAGGTCTCCCATCCAAATACTAGCCAAATACACATCATCTTGTGGTAATTGTTACAATAGCTCTGGAAGGTGGGCCAGAATTTCAACCCCCAACTTTGGGGATAAAGGAGACTGAGAGAGAGTGTGTGGCTTGCTTAAGGCTTCATAGGGGACTTCCAAACCACTATGCCACCCCACCTCCCAAGAAGAATAGTTTTTATCCAGCAGCAATAGGGAACACGGGCAACAAGAATGGTGTACAAATTTAAGATTTTCTGCTGGTGCAGGAGGACTAAGTTTATAAAGTTTCCAGAATATAAGAATACAGAGCACTGCTGAAGGAAGTGAGCATTACTCAACTTATTTGAAAAGAGGTGCAGGGGCTGTGGCTGGGGAAGAGAGCCATGCCATCTGCCCCTGAAGGTAGCCCTGCTCTGTCATTCTAGGGGTACCGACTGGCTACGATTGCTCAGTGGGGAGGGAATTATACTCTGCACACGCTCAGGGATGCTTTAATAGCATTACATTTGTTGGGGGGGTGTATTTTATTACTGTTGCTGCTTTTGCTGCTGTTGTTATCGCAAAAATATCGTTCTTCAGGTTCCCCATGTTTGAAATACTGAAGTAAAGAGAGGGTTGTGGGGTGTTTGCACAAGGAGAAACTTCCTCTGGCGTTGTCTTATGACCTCACATCACTGGTTCAGAATAGACATTATTCAAACATCTGAAAGCTTGGCTGGATCTCCATGTGGCTTTTGATGCCGCTTGTGCTTTTCCCCATCACCAGCCAGCTGATACAGTCTTAAAAATGCACAGAAAAAAAAAGCATCGGGTCACCTTCTGCCCATACACTGAATGGCAGCCTGTCAAAGCCTCTGGAACAAAGAGAGGCGGGGCCATGAACCAGCAGGTCCCCAGTTCAAAACTTGTCCTGGCTGTAGGGGGAACCTGGAATTCTCCTGGAATGCCAACTGATCTCCGGACAACAGAGTTCAGGAAATGGGAGCTTTGGAGGGTGGACTCCTCGGCATCGCATTCTTTCTGAGCTCCTTCCCTTCCCCAAGCTCAGACCCCAAATCTCCAGGAAGTTCCCAACCCAAAACTGGCAACCTTGTTCTGCTGCTTTCCCAGCATGTAGCCATTGGCTGGCCTTGCTCTCTTTCTTCCTCTGAAATATGGCTCTAGAACAGGGCTATTGTAAGGAGCACTGAGAAGCTTGTATGTGATGAAAGGAGCTTTAACTCTCAAAAGTTTATACCCCCAACGTTTTGTTGGTCTCTCAAGCACTACTGGACTCAAATCTAGCTGTCCGACTGCAGAACGGCTTGGCTACCCTCTGAAACTATCTTCAGTGACATAACATATGTAAAGTATTTTGGACATCCCAAAGGGCTATATAGTTACAAAGCAGTATTACTACTCCATGAAAAACAAAGTTAGAGTCCAGTGGCACCTTTAAGACCAACAAAGTTTTATTCAAGATGTGAGCTTTCGTGTGCATGCGCATGTCATCAGGCCCACCTGGCTTCATGAAGATGATAGGAAGGCAGTTTGCACATGCCCAGATGTACTTTTTGTGCGAAGTGATGCTCCCTAAAATGACTCTTCCCTATTAGTTAGAAAATTAGGAGTGGCAAAACACTGCAGGGAAACCATTTATCATAATGCTGTTTGTGAAATTTTGTCACATGTGGGGGAATTTTCACTTGAAGGACATTGCCATCGAGAAAACGCTTCCATACAAAAATGCAAGCCAACAGGTACGTCTGCTGGAGACCAGGGCAGCAACAAAGCACGACGGTTTGGTGGCACATAGACCGGCCAACGGGAGAGCCATGCCAGAAAGTTAGTCCGGGTCATTCATCAGCGGGAACAAACTGACGCAAGGAACTGGTTAGACTGAGGCCAGAGTGGCACTTTCGAGGTAAGGGATGGGCTGACTTTGGAAGCTCTGCAAATTAGACGGCTACAATCTCAGCCTGACCCAAACAGGAAGGCTGTGGCTTTGTGAGGCCTTGTGGGCGGCGTTCTTGAAGATTATACAAGGTTGCTTTTCAGACAGTTTCTTCCTAATCACACAGTGGTTGGTGGTGCCTGGCCGCAGCTTGGAGATGCACACGGGGAAGTGGAAATACTCCCCTTTCTATACTTCTATTGCGTGCTTTTCTGTTCTGCATGTTTTGATTGTTTGATGGTGTTCTTAATTGGTTTATTTCATACTGTTTATATACAACTGATGCAAAACTGGGGTTGTGTAACTGGGGGAGGAATCTGTACAGTGAAACAGAAGCTAGCAGCGAAATACAGATTCAAGTAACTGAAGGAAAAGGTGAGATCGAAACAGGGATTTTGAGATTGAAATGGCGGGGTTGTGAAATTCAGCATCAGCTCTCTGTGCGTGTGTTTCAAACGTCCTTGTTGACCAGGAGGGGCTTGATTTTTTAAAAACCCCTTTCCTATGAAAATCACTGTCCCAATTCCATCCCAGTTTTTTTGCCTTTGGAGGGGATGTCTTGTTACAGTCTTATCAGCATAAATTGCTTGAGTTTGTTGTTGTTCAAGTTTCAATCCCAAATTCCTGTTTCCAAAAGTTAAAGCTTGGAGAGGAAATACAAGGGTATAAATCCCTGCCCGTGAGCATTAAGTCTTGTCTGGTGCACAGCCTGACCTTTGTGCCCTGTAGTTGCAGAACTGTTGAAAGATGCTCAGAGGGGCATGATGTCAACCAAGTATACCTTTAGCAGAAAGAACAATCTCCCCTTTTGCTTTTGAATTACCATGGGACCGGCTCTTGAATGAGATGAAGCATTTGGCATGCTAAAAATGCTCTGTGGCCAGATAGTTTTCTTCCCTGTCATCTTCCTGTCTCTTCAGAACCAAAGTGGCCTCAGGTCTGGAGTTTCTCTCACCCTTTCAAGGAAGAAATGAGGATTCTAATGGGGTTTCTGATGCAGTTGTCGTGCATCGGGTTAATCCAGAGAAATCAGAAGTGGGGTTTGTGTATATAGAAGAAGAGAAAAAGAGATTGGATTTATACCCCGTCCTTCACTACCCAAAGGTGTCTCAGAGCGGCTTACAAACTCCTTTCCCTTCCCCTCCCCACAACAGATACCCTGTGAGGTGGGTGGGGCTGAGAGAGCTCTTGACAGAAACTGCTCTTTTTCAAGAACAGCTCTTATCTGAACTACGGCTTGCCCAAGGTCATCCAGGTGCAAGTGGTGGAGTGGGGAATCAAACCCGGTTCTCCCAGATTAGAGTCCGCGCACTTAACCACTACACCAAACTGGATAAATGATCACAGATAATGTACATATTGTGGCTGGATGAATGTTGTAGACATGACAAGACACTCTGAAGACTGCATGTGGGGCCTGTTGTGTTTGGACAAAGCCAGTCCATTGTGCTAGCACAGGACTGCCTTCTGTGGCAGCCTTTCTCTTTGGCTCATAATTGAACTTCAGAAATGATTTTGAATGCCAAAATTACGAATCATAACAGTGATTATAAACATCTGCCTCTGGGGATGGACAGAGTGCATTCTTTCCTTCTCCTTGGCTAACCAGCGGTCCTGCTGAGTTTGGGGACTGGGAGGGGTTTCCCAGTGGATTTGAGCCTGGGCATCTCTCAGTGGCTGACTCATCTCTGGACTCTGTTGTGTGATCCAACAGAAGATGATCTCTGGGTAGGTGCCGAGTGCTGTTCCAGTTCTGACTGAGGAAACATGCCCTGTGAGAATGGGGATTGTAGGAAGCAGGGAGTTCTAGGTCAGAGCATATGTATCAACTGGGCTCATTCTGAAACTGCCCCCCAGATATTATCTAGCGTTCGGGCCATGCACATCCTAGTTGGCTTTATGGGGGGGGGGGGGAGTAAGGGGAACGGG